TCTCTCTCTCTCTCTCTCTCTCTCTCTCTCTCTCTCTCTCTCTCTCTCTCTCTCTCTCTCTCTCTCTCTCTCTCTCTCTCTCTCCCCCTCTCCTCCGATCTCCTCTCGAAGCGCGCGGAACGGTGGTAAAACGGGACACGGAGAGCGATGGAAGAATGGTCGCGTGGCGAGGAGAGGAGAGAGCAGATCAAAAGGGGCACGGGGGGCTGGGAAGGGGGACGGGGGAAACGGGGGAGGTAATCGAGCACCACCGACGCGAAAATTAATTGACACTATAAATTAGAGAGCGCGCGATCGAGAGCCATCGATCGATTCGCGTCGTCGCGAGGCGCTCCGTTCTCCATACGCGCGATATTGTGCATGTGCACCCCCAGCCCCCCTTTTCCTCCTCGACGAGACGGCCGTTTAATCTCGCGACCGCCGACGTGGGGGGGGGAGGAGGAGAGAGAACCGATCCCTCCGTTCTCTAAGGACGGCTCGGGAATGTCAAGTACGCAGCCCCGCGTTACGCGCCTTCTCGCGCGCCTTATTCCCTCGCATAAATAATATCGGGACGGCGCGAGGGGGCCGAGGGGGGCCCGGGCGGAGTACGTGGAAAGCGCGTAGGAAAACGCGCGCGCCGTTCTCTCGGAACTTCCTCCCTCGCTCGGCGGAGGAACGGCCCGGGTAAGACAAACTGCGTCTCCTGGAACGGAACGATTAACATACGGGGTGCTTTTCTCTCTCTCTCTCTCTCTGTCTGTCTCTCTGTCTCTTTCTTTCTCTCGTGCCGCCCCGAAAATTGTCTCGCGCGACGGAGGCGGGTTTCGCCCTTCTTTCGCCCCGCGCCGGCCTCGAGTCGCGGAACTTGGGTAACATAATACGATAATAATGTATCACGATAATAAATATATTACGTGATAACGCCCAAGTACAGGGGAACGTCGCCGGACCATTTGCGACTTCTCCCCGGCGAGCAGCGACGGTGACGTTTAAGGAGGCCGTCGATCTCGCGGGCGGAAATTAATCGTCGTAATTTTCGCCGTCGCCGCTCTTATCGAACGAGAGGCGTCGCGCGTTCTTGATTAATCGTTCATCGGCCGTTTCAGGATAACCCTGGTGGACGGGGGCAACCTAATGATATCCGACGTGAGACCGGCCGACCAGGGCAAGTACCAGTGCATCGCCGAGAACATGGTCGGCACCAAGGAGTCCGCGATTGCGGTTCTCACGGTTCACGGTAAGCGCCAGCGAAAGCTCGTAACATAAACGTGCCTCATTTTCCCCCCGCCGCATCACCCCTTGCGCGATCAAGGGACTAAGAGGCCAAGCACGGATTCGTAGACACCGTCGAGCTTAACTCGGTTTAACGCCGCACTCTAACGCTAATCCTGATTGTCCGATAAGCACTGCTCCGTCTCGCCTAGCGCGATTGCGCTTAAATCTCAAATTTGTATCAAGTATTCAAGAGAGAGAGTCGATAGAAAGCTCGAGCGTCGATAGCTTTGCATCTCGCCAACAGCGCAACCCTTAGAAAGAATTTCTGTTACCGAGGCAAAAATTATTCTTTACGCATTTATATTTCTCACAACCTCGTTTGGCATAAAAATAAGACAACGTCAAAATAAGATCAATAATTCTTATTCCCCTCTGTCGAAATAATAAAGATTGACTTACTATATTGAGGCAAGAGTAACTTTATACACTCTTGCGTTTAGAATAAATTTTCACTCCATCTTAGAACGCACGAAGTTGGCACCGCGATATTCGACAAAAGACGATTCTAGATTTTCAAATTTTTCATTTAAGATTAAAATATTCCTTTCTCTATAAATATATGATTGGCGCTATATCGATCCTGTTTTATGATACATTCAAGTGTAATAGCATTGGATCCGGGAATTTTTTCTGCGAGTGCGTTATCCATTTTAAGAGTGTATTCTAAAAATGTTCCTGAACGCTGTGTCTCTATAAGCTGTACGCAGCACTGTGGAGTAAGAGGTAAAGAGCTATAGAGCTTATAAAGCCGTAATGTGTTTCAGCGTGGAAACTCTTTTACAGGGCTTATGTCTGAACTGCTATACCTACACGGAGAGACCGATATGGCTATCACATGTCTAATTAGGGTTGGCACAATCCCAATAAATAGTAATATTTGAGCCAGCTATATCCGTGGTTGTCCTACCATAAGTGGTTGAGACAACCACATACGCCTTGTGCAGCAAACTTAGTGAATGTTGCAGCGCAAAAGAATGTAGATGCTCCCGCTATTTATACGGCAACATTTTAATTCTAGTTACTTGTGCCTTAGCCGGTCTTTCCGCGTATATGACAGAATGAATTGTCGCTCCTTTAACGTTTCCTTTTCCTTTCGCCCGTCGTCTTCTCGATACTGCCCTAATTTTTACGGAGTGACAATTTATTTTACGCGCATCGTGAAAGCGAGCCAACTAACACCATCGATCTCTCCCGCAGCTCCGTTATTTATTCATAACGTCGTTATTAGCGCTTCAATTTATTAATTCCGCTTTTTGCTAAAATATTATTCGTTCATTCAAATTCGGGCGATCGATGGGCGCTCCCGGTAACTAAACTGCGTTAAATAAATAACGTCCGCGTGGCAATTTGTGACCACGGAGCCGTTCGGAATCCGATGAAAAGCCGCGGGCCGTAATTCGGGATACACCAGACCCTTTCTCCCCCCCTTCCCCCTGCGGCGCTATCGGGATTTTCCAACCAAATCCTCGCTCTGTCTTCGCAGTGAAGCCGTTCTTCCTGGCCATGCCGTCGAACCAGACGATCCTCACGGATCAGACGGCGGAGTTCGCCTGCAGGGTGGGCGGCGACCCCGAGCCGGAGATTCTGTGGCGTCGGAACGACGGCAAGATGCCGATAGGCCGGGCGCACATTCTCAACGACAAAAGTTTACACATCGAGCGGGTGAACCCCCAGGACCAGGGGACGTACATCTGCGACGCGGAGAACGGCGTCGGGGCGATATCAGCGAGCGCCACTCTTACCGTGCACTGTGAGTACTAATCCTCCCTCTGTCACTTGCCCCGGCCCTGCCGCGCCGCGCGCTCGAGGATCCGCTCGTCCGTGAAATTAATTACGCGCCCGGCGTACGATTATCATGACGAGTGAAGGGGCGCCACGAGAGGAGGGCGGACTCGCGCGCATTATCACCGCATATCAAGCCCCGCAATGTGCATCCTGTCGGATGTCGACTTTTGCGCCTGGCTTCGACACGAAATCGAATCTGCGGCTTGGAAAATTCGAACATGTTGTTGAGTAGTCGCCCGGGGTACGCGAGATAGGGGGCGGGGGCCTCCCCCCCCCTGCACCGATGGACACGGTATTACAGTCGGTCAGGCCCGAACTTTACGCTCAGGCGAGCAGGATGAATCCTGAACACAGTCGTGTGTTATAATCGGTTACATTGTCGTCGATCGTGCGTACTCTTCTCCTTTCTCGAGATTTAGCTTCTTTACGCGAACGAGCAATTTTAATCCCCGCACTGATAGAAAAAATATGTAGTATTTGAAACTGTAATTGCATAGTAAAATGATCATAGTCGGGAATATCATTTTTACAGTAATTATTACTATAATGTTAGTAATGGCAACCATATAGGCACAGTGATGCCATTTTTTTCTATCAGTGGCGCAATCTCGCGACCCATTCGTCGACTTTTTTGTACAGAGCTCGATACGATTTTTTTTTAATTCAAGTTCAGTACAGACTTAGTTTCAGCCGATTAGTTTCAAATCGGCTGCAAATAGTTAAGACCGGACGGAGGATGTTTAATATTTCAATGGCTAAAGGTGCTATTTCGAAGTCATTCATCGACATCCTCGCCTCTGTTAATAAATTTGCATTTAAGCGGTAATCATAGATGATGCGGCGCGTCGTAGAGCTTTCATTTTATATGCGCGTGGATCAGATCGTACGATTAAGGGTTAATCGAGTCTTTATCGGTAAATACACGGCGAGGAGAAGCACGTCCAAATCGAGCGGTTTGTCACAGCGAGGCCGATATTCACCAACTTCCCCAAGGACGAGACGGTGAACGCCGGCACCGACGTCACCTTCTCGTGCGCGGCGCGCGGCGCCCCGAACCCGTCGATATTTTGGACCCGGGAGGGTTCCCAGGAGCTAATGTTCCCCGGCCACACGTATCAGAGCCACTACACCGTCACGGAAGACGGAAGTCTGAGTATCAAGGGCGCCGTCAGGAAGGACGAGGGCCACTACGTGTGCAGCGCCATTAGTCAGGCCGGCGCCAGCACCGCCACCGTATTTCTTCAGGTAACGTAAGCCTTGTAATCCACGTCTCGACGGTGGTTCAATCCCACCGCTCGCGCGTCCGATCCCGAAAATCTTCCCCGTCGCGGAGCTTTACTCCTCCTCTTCTTCTTCCTCTTTTATTTCCTATTGCGACGCTGCAACGTTAGTAATTGCGAACCGACGGTAATCACCACGCGCTATCCACCTGAATCATGCACATCGTCCGCACGTAGGACAATGAAAGTCACGTGCTAAGCGCGGACGCGCAACAGTTTAAAATATACGGGCAAGATAAATCTGTCCGGATGAGAGAGGCGAGCACGCACATTAAGTGGTTCATTTTCTCGATACATATTTATATCATCCTTCGCCTTTCCCCCCTCTGGTTCTTGCCGTTCCCTTCCGGATGAGTGCGGAATTACCATTCCTGCTGGTGTGCACCGTGGCACCGCGGATCCTAGCCCGAGGGGAGTTGCCCCACATTCTGGAATAAAATTCTTATCTACATATAGGGAGCATTACAGCGATCTACTTTGGCGAATGAAAACTCCATAACTTGTTCGCTCGCAGCGGCCAAAGTTGAAAGGTGTAATATGGAAAGGAAACTTTTGAATTACATATTTCCACCGACGTGGCCATTCGAACGAACTTGTTAGACGGGACACATTCGCTTAATTCGGTAGTCGAGTATCACGCGGGGAGGTCAGATCGTAATTTACATTCCAGAAGCCACGGCCAAAAAAAAGGAAGAGAGATGTGGGGGTTCGGCAAAGTTCCGAGCTAAAATATCCAGATTTCAGTCGTGGATTATGAACGCATAGGCACTCCACTTTGTCCCGAAGAGATACGAGCAAAATTCGCGTTAATACGATCCCTCGCGAGTCCTTCCTCGCTCGTCTCTCCTTGCCGCGTCTTAGACTCGAAGGACGGCAGAGCGGCCACGGAGAATAAAACCCTTATCTCGCCGGTGAAATAGGTGACGTCCGTGGAGGAGACTCCGCCGCCCATAATCGAGCTCGGCCCGGCGAATCAGACCCTGCCGCTGAAGAGCGTCGCCTCGTTGCCGTGCCGTGCGGTCGGCACACCCACGCCGCGGGTTCACTGGCACAAGGAAGGCGTGCTCGTGCGACCGGGCGGCCGCATCACGATGGCCATCAACGGCACGCTCTTCATCGACGACCTGCACGCCAACGATTCCGGCCTGTACACCTGCATCGCCTCGTCCGAGTCCGGCAACACCTCCTGGTCGGCGTATCTCACCGTCAGCACCGGCGCCAGCTTCCATCGTACGCCCGACGTGTCGGCGCTGCCGCAGAACCCGAGCAAGCCGCGGATAGTGAACGCCACCAGCAACTCCGTCACCCTGACGTGGAGCCCGGGCCACGAGGGTCAGAGCAAGATCGTCGGCTACAACATCGAGTACTACAGCAGCAACCTGAACACCGGCTGGGTGGTGGCGGCCACGGGTGTTGTCGACGACATCTACACGGTGAGCGTATCGAGAATCGACGATGATACTTGACCCCCTTTCCCTGGCGGCTTATATCCCGCCTCGAGTTTCAACGATCTTCTCGAGCAGGCATTTTCAGTTCCCCCCCCCCTCTCCCCCTTTGTGCATTGTTTTTCGAAAGTTCGGAGCGCGCGTTGCGCCAACCCGCCGTCGCCGCTGGCGAGGACAGTTGGCGACATTACGATGTTGGGTAACGGGCCGATAAACCCAAAGTCGCTTACTGTAGCGTTGAAAAATCTAATATCGAAGTTTCGCGTACACTGGAGCCGCGTAATAAAGAGACCGAGAAGTCTAACGCCACAAAGTAAGTGTCTACGTAAGAGACACTTTAATACGCTTCATCAAACAGACGCGGTATGCTTCAGCTCTCGTCGCTGCGCAATACGGGATTTTAACCAGTCCTTTCAACAAGGGACCAAACCGATCTCTCGAACAAGACAAATATCGCAGTGTAAAGAAGCAAACGTTTAGCGGTCGATAAACAAGCGGGAGAGAACGCACTTAGACCCACGTGTCCGCATGTGTGCGTGGCATTGATTTCTTCATTATTTTTTAATTCGTTCGTCAGACTAACGAATCCGGGTTTCCGCTTTATCCATCAACAGGTGACAGATTTAAGGCCGGAGACCAATTACGTTTTCCTAGTACGAGCGGAAAATAGCCAGGGGCTCTCGCTGCCCGGACCGCTGTCGGACGTCGTGCAAACTACTAACGTAAATCAGCATACGGTACCGCAAGTGGAGCTGACTCGCGCCAGAGATAGGCTGAACAGCGAGATTTTACATCTCAAAGAGGTGCAACCGTTGACCAGCACCAGCGTGAAGATCATGTGGGACGTAAGTATCGGGCAACATTATACAACGGCGTTTCCGCTCGTATACCGATTTAGCATAACAACGCGCGGGGACTTGCTAGCGGCAGATGCTAACTCGAAAATTTTTAGAAATACAACGCGGAAACAACGCCCGTTCGTTTATTTTACAATGATATTTGTTTATTTCAGTCGCATCTATTTTAGCGGGGATTTAATTTAGCGAGAGTGTATTTGCATTACAAGTAAAAAAAAAACAGAGCGGCGAACTATCAACTTTCATTGCATTTTCCCTGAAAAATAGAACGTCCGGGGGGTAGCTCTCGCGATATTTGAGATACGCGGACGCGACAGTTGGAACTGGGAGGAAACATTAAAATAACAACGGCGGATTAGAATAACATATTAGAATCTGAATTTTAGATTCTCGGCGCGGCGGATTTAGTGGAGGGCCTTTATATACGGTATCGCGAGGTGTCCGAGAAGCCGGAGTATCAAATGGTCACGGTGCTGAACGCCGGCGCTACCAGCTACGTGCTGACCAATCTGAAAAAGTACACGCGCTACGAATTCTTCCTGGTTCCGTTCTACAAGATTATCGAAGGCCGGCCGAGCAACGTGAAGCTGGTCACCACGTTGGAGGACGTGCCCTCGGGCGCGCCCGAGAACGTTCACGTGGGGATGATAAATATGACCTCGGCGTTCGTCCGGTGGTCGCCGCCGCCGAAGAACACTCAGAACGGCCAATTGGTCGGTTACAAGGTAAGGATCGCCGTTAATCTTCCGCTAGGTATCCCGCGAGTGCTCGCTCATATATCTCACTGTCGATTCGTATCCGCCCCCCCACGCAGATTCAGATCAAGAGCAACAGCAGCAACAAGATCCTGGGTCAAATGTCCCTGAACGCGTCCACTACGTCGGTAATCATCAACAGCCTGACCACCGGCGGCCTATACACGGCTCGCGTCGCCGGGCAAACCCGCGTCGGACTGGGTCCTTTTTCCAGCCCGACCCTGTTGAACATGGATCCGGGACAGTTAACGCAATTACCGCCGCGTACCGATCCCAGCCACGGAGGTGCGTCCGTAGTTAGAGAAACGTGGTTTCTCGTACTGATAATCACAATGATATTAACCGTTATCGTCGCGCTGCTGGCCGCCCTGTACGTGAGGCGCAGGCAAGCGATGAGCAAGCAACTGGGTCACTTAAATGTACCCGTGGGCACCGCAAACGATATCTGTCAATTGAATAAGGACACGCTCTGGCTGGAACGAGGTTGGCGACCGACCAATACCCTCCAGGCTGCCAACGATAAGGACTGCGAGACCAAGTTACTCAACAATCAGCACATGCTGGCGGCCGGTATAATGGGCATGGCCGGCTCGGAGTATGCCGAGGTAAATCTGACGACGTTCTACAACACGCGCAAGCAAATGCAGGCGCCGCCGCCGGAGCCGTACGCGACCACGACCCTGTGCGTGGGCAGCCGTAACTCAGACTCGATCGAGACCAGCTGCCAGAAGTCAAACTCCAGCGACTCGTGTCTGAAACCGGATTACTCGAGCTTGGACTCGAGTCAGGAGCCCAACAAGTCGACGGTGTCGCCAAGCAGTGATAACATGAGCGGCGGCGGCGACGCCGCCTACGCGGACGAGAATCTGGACATGCAAAGGAGACAGTACAGAATGGCAGGCTCCGCGGGCGACGCGCCGCAAACCGGTATGCCGATGCCCAACTGGTGCGACATGCTGCCACCGCCGCCCGAGCATCCACCTCCCCTCGGCACATCCATAGTCACCGGTCGAATGCATCAGCATCAGCAGCAGCAGCAGCAGCATCAGTTGCAGCATCCGCACCAACAGCAGCAGCAGCAGCAGCAGCAACAGCAACAACAGCAAGTGCCGTTCAGTCCGCATCTCAGCAAGAGAAGCGTTCAGAACGATCTGGATCACTGTAGCGGCTCAGGCGCCGGTTCGTGCAATCCGCAGAGTCCGCCCACCCCGCCCATTAGAGTCACCAATAGCTTCAGTCCGTCGCCGACGCCCTGGAGCGGCGGCGGGCAGAGTCAGCATTCGGAGCCCGGTGCTCTTCAGGTTCCGCAGGGTAGATACACGACGCTACCGCCGCAGACCAATCCGCCGCCGTTGCCCTCGTTCCCGCAGGGTTTCAATCACTACGATTACAAAAACCAGGAGAACGAGTACGAGAGCGGCTCCGTCATTTACGGCCACCACCAGAACGGTCTGCCGGACGATTACGGCGCGCGCGGCGATCCCGCGTTCGCCCGCTCCAACAATCAGCAGTCACACCTGACACCGTCCGCCGTGAGCGAGGAGCTGTACCGGCACAGGGACGAAATGTTCCACAACGACAATCTCTATCAGCCCGAGAACGACGAGTGGGACAGGAAGTCGTGCGACTCCAACACGCATTCGGACGCGTGCTGCTCCTGCTCGGAATCGAGCTGCCTCTACGCCGACACCGTGCAGTACAACGCGCAGCAATACGGCACCGCGTGCGGCCACGGTAGCGGCAGGACGGGTTCCCGAAGCAGAAGTAACAGGAGTCCGCGAAGAAGAAACAGAACGTCCTCGCCTACGTACAGCAGCGACAGTAATTACTCCTGCATCCCCCCGAGGCAGTGCGGAAGCACGAATTCACAGGAGAGACTGAGGCATAATCGTAGTAAAGGTAATCGATCTAGAAAAGAAGACTTGATTGATCGTTTCGCCTTTAATTAAGCTCCATCCCTATCCGAGTCCTTATTCGAGCCATCGAACGCGAGTATCCTAACGATATTCTTAACGTGCTTTTGTCGTTGCGCTTTTCAGACAAGCTGCCTGGCTTCTCAAGAACGGGCAACTACAGCCAGCACAATTCTTCGGCCTCTAACACGATGAGTAGTACGGGCAGTCAACGATACAATAAGCTAAATAGTATCTTTGCAAGCGGCAATAACCCGAACGCTCCGACGGAATCTAGTCGACTGGGTGACCACCGTGAGAGCTAAACACTACCTGGATGTAGTAAATACAAGGACGTGCCTGAACAAACGGCCTTCGATCACAACGAACGATCGCAGTCTTCGACTACGGGAGGCCGCTTCGCAATCAGCAATGTCGCGGACGCTCATCAAGTGCGGTTCGATCCGGCGCGCGCCGTATATATAAAACAAAAGATACGCCGTAGCGTCTCTTTCGCAGGCTGGCTATATTTCTATATGTACCTGGCGCGAGATGCTGCCGCGTCTCTTGATTAGCGGCCCGCGCGCATGGAAGGGTACATCGATTTAATTTGTTGTTGATTATACGGGCTCATTAGGAGAGCGAGCTCGAGTGACAACGAGGCGGGGCGAATCTCGCGCTTTCTCCGCGTACCCCGTTACGTAAATATCGAAAATATTTAACAGGTTTCCGCGAGGTAATAGTATTCCATGACTGACAAACGTTTACGTTTAGCTGATTACGTGACGGTAGTTTAAGCTCGTAGAGTATTCCTGTGTTCGTACGAAGCGCGATAACGGTCTTCTATCGCGGCAGGGGGTAGCATAATTTCGACACTCGAGGATTTCAACTCCGTGGCCGCCAGCTCGCGGCACTTTCAAACGCCACGCCGATAGACCCCGTTACGTACACGCGATATAGTCGATTGTTTTATACTCCGTACTCGGATAAGGGCCTTCAAAAGAAAGAGATAACATCGCGAGACGAGAGGTGGCGTCGCGTAGTATTATCTTTCTTTGAACACTGCCAAATAGACTGATTAAACGTATCAACGGACCTTGCTTACATTGCCTTTGTTCTTCGCTTTATATCACGCTGAGAGGTAGAAGCGATTTCAATTTTCGCGAGATGTTACGAAAGAGAGCAGGAGGAAGAGGGAAAAAGTTCTTCTCCTCTCGTATACCGCAGTTCGCTGTCACATGTTCCTCGAGTAAACATTTAACGCCTGAGCGATCACGCCGGACTAATATTCCAGTTCAACGCCTCTTGAACTTCGTTGTACTCTCGACTGCCATATATACTGCCATTCCCGCTGACGTACTGTTAGTTCGAGTTAAGTTGTATCTTAAACGGTGACCATAAAAAGTCGCATTTTAGCTCGCGAGCGTCAGCGAGCTGCAAAAGTTGTCGCGCGACCGGGATAAACGTCCACGCGTATAAATGTCCCCCGTGACGTGTCACGTTCTTTTTTTATTTTTTTTGACGTGGCGATAGCGCAAACGGAGAGAAGAATGTATGATATAACGAGTTGATCTGCCTGAGCGCGAACTAAGGATTTGGGTCGCACGAAGCGCGTACGAATCAAGCAAGCGCAGTGTCGACTGTTTAAATTTTGCCTACGAGAAAGCTCGAAGGCAGATAATTTAATTTATCTTCACAAAGCAGTAGAAGACAGAACTGAGCTCTTTGCACTGATATAAAATAGATTCTTCTTTAAATGACATATTTTTTTATAACGTTAGCTGCAGTTAAATGTTTGATTGAAATTAATGACACAATTGTGCTCTAAGAGAGGTAACGGACTCCAACACTATAGCAATAATGAGAGTATACGTATACGCGTTGTGGTACCGAGGCGAGTTTCTTTTATGAAAAGTGACTTGGAAATTCGTAGAATAATTCGGTATAGGGTAGTTGCGCTATCACTTCGAGTGTCAAAGTGATTTCGTTCCGAAGTCATGGTCTCGGAAACAATCGAGCAGGCAATCGTTCACAATTGTTTCCACTGTGCTGTACACGAGATTAACTTATCGATCGACCGTGCCTGCTTGCTCTGTACGCGGAATAATCCTTTCGCTACGGTGGTTTTTGTCGAAAGGCTTCGCTTCCTGCGTACGAAGCAATTGTTTTCGATCGTGAAGCCCAAATGTAATGTATTGCGGCTTGTAGCGGCAACGCTCACGTCCCACGTTTGACGCTAAACGAACTTGTTCGATATCGAATCCACGATAACATCTCTCATCTGCATGTTAAACAGCACTAACACTCGGGATTAAACGCGCAATGCGGAAGGTCGTTTCGATGAATATACAGTCGTCCTTAATGCAAACAATTAGAAACGGGCGATATTACGGTTTGTATCTCTCAGCACGTAGCGGAGATAGACAGGCGGCATAATCGTCGTAGCGAAAGGATCAACGTGTCGCGCCCGACAAAACGATTCGCGCTCGGCACCGCGACCGGCCTCACAAAGCGTGGCATTTATTTTCGGCAGCCTGTACTGTACTCAGGCCACGACAAATGGAGCATATTATTTTGGATATAACGTTCCTAAATCCTAAGGCAACCGAGGGCTAATCTCCACGAAGAAGGGCCATGTATAATTCTTCCAAAACGAACGCACGTAGTGGATACGTTTTTAACGAAACGAAGTAACAATAAAGAAACGCGTAATATATATATATGAAAATATACATATTATATATATAAATATACATATTATCATATCACGCAAACGGTCCCTGTACAAATTGTACAAAGTTACTCTAACGAGATTAGTCATTAGTTCTTAATTTACACGCCGTTTCGATTCAACTCGTATCGCGTAAACGGCAGATACGGCAAGGTATCCCATGTACTCTTTTATTACACACGACCTGACATGTAAAAGTGAGAACGTGCTCGCCAAAGATGTGCGCTTCGAAACTGCCGATATACACAAAAGTGCGTTATTCTCGAACGCGTACCTGATTCCGGTTTAATCGGATACTCCCGTAACCGCGATCTAATTCATTTCTTGTGTGGCGTCTAGATCGTTATATAACAGAGGAACCGGTTCGAATATCGAATTTTTACTTTATCACAATCTTTCCACGTTTATATTGGGTGCTCTACATCTTCGGAACAGCAAACGGGACGACCCATACTTTATACGACACATGTGTCGCTTTTAAATTTAATCTAAAAAATTTCTAATCTCAAATCGTAAATCCGATGGACACATAATTTCAGACCTTCAGGCTCGAGCTTGCAATAGAAATTTTAAAGAAGTATGTCGTTAATTACGCGAGTCAGTTATTATAGAATGGTCAGCAGCCCCAACAGAAAAGAATTAAGTAATCCACGGACAAACGGCATCACTAGTTTGGACAATACTTGGAGGAAGTTCGTTTCAATGTCCCATATTCGGACCAGTCCCTCTGTTACTGTCAGAGATAACAACACGAAGAAAAATAAAAAGAAGATACGAAGCGCCAAAACGGCAAAATGGATTAGTAAGATTTGCATAAAGGGCTCAAAATTGTGGGTTTTTTTTTCAAAGTTTTGAAGAGAGAAAATGTTTAAGCCCACGTATTCCACTTGTCTCTCTCGACTTCCTTCGCGATGGGACTTTAGATGGGAGAACACAACGAAGCACATTTGCATTCGTAACGACCGACTTATTGAAAGCGTGGCGGACGGAGAGGAATTGCATACTATTAAGGAACCGTGAAATTTTATTGTCGTCCACGTCTTTCTCTCCTTTGAAGCGCACATTTTTAACAGGATGGAGTACACGTCGCGTCCGTATCGCGGCAATTTATGGGCGAAGCGTCGCGTTTACCGGACGATCCGGGCCAGCGTGTCTCGTAGACGGATCAGACGTAGAGCTGAAACCCAACCGGAAGTAATGCATCAGCGAATAAAATATTTAGCGGAAAAGAAAGTCGGGGGGGGGGGGGAGATTTAATTTTTAACGAGCCTATGTCGCCGACCGACTTTGCAAATATAAAAACGCAACCGCGCGCGCTCCGCGTTTGCCGTTTACCGGAGGGCACGGCGTAGCTCTATTATGCGAATATAATTATTTGAACAAAGAACCGATGAAAAATTTGCCGAGGTACGTCTGAATCCGTCTACGTCGTACGCCGGCGAACGGCGGCCGATAGTCGACCGCCGCGGCTGATTCGGGGAGAGGAGCCGAACCGAATCCCCGTTTGATCCGTGGCGCGCGAGGCTCCTTCAATGTACATACACTGTCGAGACATTTTGTATGCATTTTTTAAAGGGGTCCCCGTCGAGATACGGGCTCCCTTCCGCCGGCGATAGCGCGCTACGCGGAGGCGATGACCACGCGATGACCCTTTTTCTCTCCTCCCCGTAACGACGCCGTCGCGGGCAGCGTGGGCGTGGCTTTCCTTTGTACACGCGGGTATGCGACTTACTTATTAATTACGACTTTCGATTAAGTGACAAGTAAACGGATTAGCGTTATTCTAAAGGCGCGCGCGCGTGCCGAGCATGCGGCTCGTTCAATGACGCGTGGTGAATCGCTCAAATTTGTTATACACACACATACACGCCACACCACACAATACAATTAGCTCCACTCGGTTCGAGACCGTGCTGCCTGAATAGAGAAGTCAACCCGCGCGACAGGTACCAGCCATTCAGATACTCGACGCAACACAAATTGCCGTATGTAAATTCCGTAAAAGGAGAAGAAGAAAGAAAACTGGGTCACACAGGAATTGCGATCTCGGGGGAGGAGGAGGAGGGAGAACAAAATTAATTAGCAGAGATATTGAATTAAATTTGTTAATTCAGAGAGTTGAACTTAGGGTCTACCTATAGTGATACATGACTATGTATACATGCGTATATAGTTTCGTAAAAGTCTCGGTGTATAAATTTATTTGCGCGTCGACGCGCGCGCGAATGAATTCATATCCTATAAGAAAAGAAAAAAAAAACAGTCCATCCAAGCAGGCGAGGGGATAAGTAACGCGCAGGGAGAAGATATCATCTCGATATACCGATATTTAGGTTTAGGAAAAGACGAGCCGGGGAAGGGGAGAGGCAGAACGAGCGAGGGGTGTTGTAGACGCGAGACTGTCGCTAGAAGGAAGCATCTCATTACACGTATAAATTAGATAGGACGCGTATTTTAAGTATCTCCGTCGTCACGTACGAGTGTGCGCGTCCGGCGCGAGAGTCGCGTTAAGCCGAGGGAAGGAAGACGCGAGGAGCGAGCACTTCCGACGGGGCCGCGCGCTCTTCGCCTCTTTCTCTCCGCCTTCGCTCGCCTAACGCCTCGTCGAAGGCGCGACGGAAGTCACCTTCTGGCATTCTGACGAGGCGCCGGGACGTCGACCCTTGCCGAGGGCCGTCGATTCCACGGTCCGTTAGACGAGCGAACGCGCGCATCTTCCTCGGGAGATAATTGCGTCCGCTGAGGTGCGAATCCACCGCGAAGGCGCTCGGACCACGATTGTATCGTTCGATATCGCTGCGAGCCGCGTCCGACGCGGTGGACTCGCAGCTTCCTGATCTATTAGGTGGATTCGCAGCTTCCAGATGATCGGATCGGCGGGACGCAGCCGCATATTATTGGGGGGGGATAAAGGGTTATTACGTGCACATACGGATTATACATACATCTCGTCGAAGGCTACGGAATCGTGACCCTTTCGGGAAGCAATCCGTGTCTCCATTTCCTGAAACGATCGCGATTCGGCCGACGGACAATTGCTGCCAAACCATCGTATCAATGCGCGAAGGAACGGGAAAAGATAACGTATTATTTTTATAATTTGTCATCTTTGTACTATTGTTACGATGGTTGAGAGGACTTGTATAAAACACACAGTAGCGTTTAACTTGAGAGGAAAAAAGAATTGCGCGACTCGCGTAAAACGACACTCGACACGAATACACGACACATAATACATCAATACACCCTCCGAACACTCGACGGGTCCGTCGAGCAAGTCAAACGAAACTCGTGAACGCGCGTAATGGACGTTTCTCGATCAATCGACCGACCGACGAGGTCCCTATTTGTTCAAGTAGAAGCTGCGGCCGTCGTGCAGCACGACGAGGGAACGTTTGTATTAACGTTAGTGCAAAATTTTTCGATCTGTAAATTCATATCTGGTAGCGATGGCGAGACAGAGTTTGCCGCTTTTGCGAGAGAGGCGCTCGCCGGACTTTAAACTTGGTGCTGCCAAGACCGCCGAATGCAACGACGAAGGCCGAGCAGCTGCACCTAATTGAGCTGATCGATGCATTGCTTTTCCCGGGAGTCCAGTCTACAGAGCTTTTGCTCGGGTTCTGCCTGGAAAGTGTTTCGATGATACACTGACAAATTTGGGGTCAACTTTTGTTTTTTTTTAATGAAAATTTCCAAGTCCCGCTCTGGTAGGAGCAAATGCGAACACGACGGTGTCTTGTTTTCCCCATAAAACTCATCGAGAACTGCGGTGGCTTTTCTCTCAGGAATAAAGTCAATTCCGTTCGTCGAAGCGTTTCTGATTGCAATGCTCAGCTCTGGAGCAGCCTCTGTCTGACGCAGAGTAGAAAAATTAAATGTATCAGAACGGCACCTTGATCGATCGACGTTGGTGCAAGCAACTGGCCCTGGATCGCGCTTAAAGGATTAAGTAGACCGTTAGAGAGCAAGAGCTACGTAAAGATAATTCATATCATTAAGAACACGAATTAGCGATTTTCGAATTGGAGGCAATGCGGGAGAAAGAGAAGAAGAGGCGATGGCCCTTTTTCTATTCGCTCTCTCCTTCTCTCTCTCTCTCTCATTCTCTAGACTGCGTTTTACAGACCGCAACGCGTGCGATTACGACTCGCCACGGGCACGTACGCGCACGTGCACGTGGGGTCCGCGTATTTAGCTCAAGCTTTCCTTTTTATATTTTGTAAATACAGCGAGTAAATAAAAGTGGCGAGCATTTTTATAGTTAATTTTATAATTTATTTACTACGGAAGAGACACGCGCGCGTCTCTCTTCGTCGACCGTCGTCGCACGAGTGAAATCTATGAGATTTAAGACGTAGGAGCGTACTGCAGAGAGAGAGAGACACACGTTACACACGTATACATACACATAGACATACACGCGCACGACTGTAGATAATTTGTAACAGTTGCTATTGTCAAGTACCACGTACACGTATAAAGCGACGTATGCTGATATATATCATTGCATATTATACTGATAACGATTAATAAAAGGTAATGTTGAAAATTCAAGGGCCCCTCTGTGCGAGAAGACGCAAGCGCCTGTGCTTTATCCAGGATCTTATCCCTCGCTCCGGCGTTCGAAAACGCACTTTTCAATATCGCTTAACTGAAGTATACGGTTTACTATCGATTCGATAGGTAAAATCTATCTCTGGTTTATTAAAGCTTAAGAATTGTACATGTATGGAATTAATGTCGATATAACAATTACACCAATTTTTTCACACGACTCGATAGGATTTGTAGAAATCGTGTGCACCACCGTTCAAGCGTGTCTATTCGAACCCCGTAAGTTACTTTCCCACTTTTGTCCTTAAGAACGTTAAATTGCAAGAATGTAAATGGCCTTCCCGTGAGATCCCACAAAATTGCGGTTAACCGCATCCGCCCTTTTTGCAACAGGACCGTTTCGGAGGACGATATCCCCGAGTGTTGTCGCCCATTAAGGGATTATACTCTGTAAACAAAGTATACACGCGGATATTACGCCATTGCGATCCACCTTGCGATCGCGACTTGTAACGTGAAATCTTACCCGATTTTAACGACCTGGATTTTGTACTCGTGCCAGGAGTTTCGTCGTCGTTCGCGCTACCGAGTCTCGTACCTACGCTTTTAGTTTCCAGCAGTTTCAAGACCTTTTGCCTCTTTCTTTCTTGTTCCTGAGCAAGAGAGGTAAGATCGTTCCGGTTTAGGCCCAGTTTTGCCAACGTTGTTTAACTTTAAGCTTAGCTTAATTCGTTCCTCGTCTCTTTTCAGCCGTTACTTTAGAAAGAGACTAACGTGAATTGAACTAACTGTAAGATTAAAGGCTGAGGTGATATTATTTCCGCAATAAATTTAGAATAAAATCTTTAGACACTAACACCCTGTCACGGCTCTCAGTTCCTTTATTCCTTCACATTTGTGTCTGTCACATTTGAGCCGTGCGAATTTTATCAATTTGTAACATTAAAGTTAAGCGACGTTTGGCGTAACTGGGCCATACATTTCGAAGATATACGTATAAAAATGTAGCGAATAACGCGTGGCAATAAATACCTCTTCCTCTCTGACTCGTGCTACGGCGCGACTCTTGTCGTACGCCTCTTGCATCTTCTGTCGCGCCAGCTCCACGTTGGCTGACAACTGTGGCATTTCGTCGGTCTCTAAAACATACAATTGGCACGACAGTAAAGCAAACCGTACACGTCATATCGCGAGTAACGTCGCAACTTGTCTGTTGCGACGATCGCGCAGAGATCCTGAGATCGTTCACCTACTCTAGAGTGGCCTTCAGCCATTCTGGCCGACAGGCCAGTGTTGGCAAAATGATGCGAGAAAGAAATATATTTCCTCTCACTCTCTCTACATACAGCATATGCGTCAAGTGGGAGGGAATATATTTCTTTCTCTCTCGCATCATTTCGCGGAGACTGGCCTGCTGGCCAGACTCTGATCGGCGGGACTCTACAGGCTGGTTTGTGCAAGACCGTAACTGTTAACTTATACCGGAATCGGTAAAAATTCACCAATTACCGAGGGGGAAACCGCCGAGGGCATTGCAGTGTACATATTTGCGGCATTATTGGGCATTAGTTTAGGCGTCAGGCTGTTTCTAGGGCATTATAAAGATAAAATAAGATAACAAGACAAAGTAATGCCCACCGGGCGTTAGTGTACGAGATTCTGGTCAGTGGTTTTTCTCGTCGCCAATCACAGTCAACCATTCTCGCCACTTTTAACGATGACTGGACAATTTTTACCGATTTCGGCCCAAGTTTGGCAGCTACGGCCTCGCATAAACCGGGGCCCTAACTCACTCTTGCCGAGCGCGGCATCCCGCTGGTTCCTCGCGACTTTCCAGCTCTTATATCTCTCTTGGATATGCGGAAACGTGTACACCACGATGACGCCAAGCCCCACGATGTACCAGCCCAGGGAGGCGATCGGTGCCCAGACTGAAATGCAAAAGGCGCTTGGCAATCGCTTCGTAACGTTCGCTCCGTGAAACAGGAAGCGAAAGTGTAATCGCGACGTCGCGTATGCAAATACGCGAGCGTCAGCGGGCGCATATACGCGCGTTCTTCGCGATACGTACTCGTTTGGAGATAGCTCGGACTGTCGACGTGCTCCATGCTCCTTTATTTACACGTTCGCAGCGAAGTTCTCCAAGGCTCGTTGGACTCGAGCGTCACGCGACTCGACGTTCGGTCCACGCCGCGAATTGTCGTCGGCCGTTGACAGTTCAGTTTCTCGCGTGACGATTCAACAGCAGTCGCGCCGCGCGCGCAGAACACGTCGCAACGCGTTGCACGTCGCGAGACGCGACACCGTGACCAGCGGCTGTCTGACCGACGATCGGTTACGTCGGGCCCTTCGGGCAAAGTGTGTAGTGGTCTACACCCGGGCCTTTGGCGATCTGTCTATTAATCTGTGCAGTAAAACTCGGGTTTCTCTCTGCTAACATTGCGCGCTCCAACTGGAAAGAGCGCGCGTTCAGATATAATTTCCCGTAAGAATGTGCAATTACAAATGTGAGCTAGCCGTTCAACTGAGAAAGTATATTTTGTCATTACGTCGACCTTACATGTATATTCTTCTATCTGCAAAACTACTATCTGTAAGGGAAGAAAAGATTGCATCTCTGACAATCTTGTATTTTGACATATCGTATCGTATTGGTTTTAATGCTTCAATCTGTGTCACATGCAAGTATATCGCGAGTATAATTGTATAAATGTTGTAATTATCCTCTGTTGGCGAGGAGAAGGCCGCTTGCGAAAATCGACGATAGCGATAAGAAAAAAAGGACGATTTCGAAGGCGATGAATCGACACACATTCACATATGAGACATGAATGTGTGTGTGTGTGATACGTGAATAACACATGGAGGGACAGAAACAAAGCAGGCGAGTCGCGCGAGCGTGGAGTTTACAGATTGTAGGTCATACGTCGGGGAGGGGGCACGGGGGCACGGGGAGAGGAGACGAAATCCGGTGGGGAGTCGTTCTTCTACCGCAAACTAACTGGACACGCGGACGCGGGTACGGCAGTTTCTTCCTCCTGCAGGCTCGCTTCAGGTGCGATTTGCCGTTCCGCGCGCGCGTGCGCGCACGCAAGTCCATGTTGCGTCTCGTTGGTGTTGTTGGTGTGTGGGCGAATGACACACGAGAGAACACGAGAAGGCGCGTCTCTTCCGTATCGTGATCGATCGATCGATCGTACGATTCGTGCGACGCGACGCGACGCGACGCGAAGCGAAACGTAGCGACGCGACACGGTGCAGTCGTGCGGCTTCTCGGTCTATGTACGTACGTACTTAGGCTCGTTTATTCGCGCAATACGGACGAAACCTTGCCAGAAAGGTAGAAACAATTGGAACTCGCGTCTTAAGAGAACATTTCTGGTTTCCGTAAAGTGTACATTTCACGTATCAATCGAAGGAGAGAATAGAGCAAATAGTATTTTTACATGTATACCGCTACGTGTGCTGTACGTTGTTGAAGATATAAAAGTTTGTGACGCGGAAATGTGTACTTTTCAATTCTCGACAATGTAGCTCTCTTTCTCCCCGTGACGTTAACGTAGTATCAAGATAATTGATATCACGTTGAAAGGAGAAAATCGAGCTCGAGTGGCTAAAATGTCGGCTGCAATTTACAACATCGTATAACGGATACAAAGTTGAAAAGACAGTCTCTTTCCATTTCGATACTAGTCGATGTAGTCCGCGTGAGTGCCAAGTGCGGTTTGCAGAGTGTTTCCGGAACGGAACAACGAGGTAACCTTTGGCGGCGATGAGCAGGACGTGACCTTAGATTAGAGGCGGACACCATGTCGTCGAGTTCGCTCTTTTACAAGGACAAGTACGCGGTAAGTGCCAATGTATTTCACCGCCTTTCATTGGCGCAGTCTGCGTGGACCAACTGGATAATCGCAATTATACATTTCAAAAGTATCTATTGGTCAGAGCCTATGACAAACTTGGAGTTGTGCACGACTGCAAAAGCGGTAAAAGCGGTAAAAGCGGTACATCTATAACGACGTGCTTTCACTCTATCCTCACGAACCCGGCAAAGTCGTACGCGTGCGCGCAGTTCCGCGTCTCTAGGTAAATGATGATTTACGTCGTTGCGTATGCGAGTTGAAATGTAGTCGGTCAATCGATTATTATATCCACGAATGACTAATCTGTTATTATATCCATCACACGATGTACATTGCAAGCGCGGTGTTTCCGCCAATCATTTGGTGTGCAGCGCCAAGAATGCACAGTTGAAAAATTTGTGTGAAATTTCATAGATATCACATCCACACAAATTTCTCTCTTAACATAATATGTTAAATGATGACACTAATACTCTCTGTAAAGATTTTAATACAAAATCAATGCAAATCTCAAAATAATGTGAAATAAATTTTCTGTATAATTTTTACATTTTACAGATGTAATAAGTGAAACGACGGTTCGAAATCACTCTCACTTATGTCAATTTTAACAGATAAATCTTGTTACTAAAAATATAGAACATATATATTGTGTAAAAAATAAGTACACATTGTGTTAACATTTCTTTTCAGGTAGTTGAATAATTGTATATTTGAGGTCAATTAACACGAGAGCAATATGTTAAATTAACACATGAATGTGTTAAACATTTAACACAAAAATTTGAACGGGCATTTTTTTAAACAAGAAAAAACAAATTTTCCAACCGTGTGATATCTGCTGCTGACTACGTATTTCAATTTCCATTTTGATATCTCCACGAAATGATTTCGTCGATGATGAGATCTCCACATCGACGCATGCATTTACACGTCTTTATTTTACTCCTCTCTGTCCTTCTTTTGCCTTTCTCTTTGGAAACGTGATATAATCTCAGCCATTACCGCGTTCGCATAATTGACAAAAATTCACAACGTAACGATGTGTCATAGAAAAACACAAAAGGCGACAGAGACGAGTTGTATGTATGTACAAGGTCGAAAATCTCTCTTTCGTCCTTTCCTTTTTTCTATCGAGGTGGGCGAAAGCATCGTCGGCCAATTAACAAGTTTGCCTTCGGCCGTCGCATAAATTCATTAAATTAATAAGTAAACTAGTAAACCATTCTACAATACTTGTATGACGTATTTACTTGTTCGAAAGAAGGCGTGCATTCTTATCGATTGATTGCGACATTATCTGATTTCATCGATAAGTGTAGACTGTAGAGGATTCGACTGAGACCGTGGTATCTTCGGTAGCGTTACAACTTGTAAAAACTGCCACATCGTGCAACGTGTTACTTTCGAAACGTATCGTACGTTTCGAATGGTACACATCTAAAATTATATGATATGTACATGCATTTTTATTTTCTTTTAAAACACCGGGGATTGAATCGCCTGCATTAATAGAAAATTGAGAAAAAAATCAGGTGCGAATCAGCAAAGTTAACGAGAAAAATACATATATTATTAGCGTGCAATTATTTTCTCGATACAAATAATATCCAAAGTTTTATCTAAGAAATGTAGTAGAAATTGAATCGTGCAGCAAATTTTCTGTAAAAACCCAAGCAATCCTGCAATCCAAGTAAAAACGTGAACCAATTCGTGTAGGAATTATCGTTGTGGCATCTAATCGAATCACTTTTCGAGAGCGCGTCCTTCGCAGGCGATCGCAGGTACATCTGCATCTCTCCCTCTCTCTCTCTCTCTCTCTCGGAGCACGGTCCCGGACTTTCCGTGGGAGCGGAATCCGTTCCGCTGCGTGGGTCACGCGCTTGTCCGGCATAATAAGACGTACTCGTATGTATCTGACGTAAGACTTTCACCCCCGAGGGGCCCTCTGCCGCGATCGCGATCGCGATTGGATCACGGTTCACTGCGGTTGATCGCGGAGGACAACTTGTGAAAAAACCGCTTGAAACGCAGTGCAGCGAAAGACTACTCCTATACGTCGTAGCTCTTCTCTCTAGACGCTCCCCCACGTCGTCTATCATATTTATCAAAATTCTCAATGAAAACCGAAAAAACTATTAGATAATTCTCGACAACTCGGCTCGGCGACTCAAGTCGTACACTACCGCGCCGTAGTGATACAGTTAACTGTCGGCACAAATGCGGTTAATTATCACGTATGAATAGTGCGCACTACAACGTTGCAGCCGCTATATAGGCAAATGGCGAGCATTCCACCGACTTGGCTCTGCGATGATGATTAAACGGTAAATCGGTTATCGCGCGTGTCTTTATCTCGATGTGAGATAAAGATAAAAAATTGCAATGTAAACATTGATTAGTCCTGCCCTGGGATTATCTTTTCGTTTTTCGCAATTTTACATTGTTAAATTTCAAGCGCTTTTAACATCCAAATGTCATTTCAATTACAAGGTTATCTGTTTAGCTTGAAATTTTATTTCAGTTATCACTCACGAAATTATCATTACGCTATACGTAATGTAGTTGGATGTCTAATGAAATTTGCTAAATTAATAGAGATACGTACATGACTGCGATTTTGAATTCGAATTCAAATATACAGGGTGTTATTAAACCGAGTCGAAAAGCCCAATTCAAGCACGATTGGCGTTGCTAGGTGCGCGGTAGGCTGGACTAAGACAGTGATTTTTAATAATTAATAACTCGTTAACTTTTTCGAAAATTGCACAATGGTACAGGACTTTTCGACTCACAATCAGTCTAGTCCGCTCTATCCGGAAATAAGAGGTAAGGCGGGTATTACATAACGCCCTGTATTCCGATTTTGATTTCAATTTCTTATTAAATGTCATTTCTGCTTTGAATTAATGTTTCACACGCGCAAGAATGCTTGTAGTTTTTCAACAGGTATCTAGCACAAGTGCGAAAGTTTTGCTATACAGTATTTACCGTACCGTACATGACGGTAGCGAGATATCTACTTCCCTGCCCGTGATGAAACTTTCGCGAGATGTACGGGCTACATTTGAAAACGTCTGTATTGTAGGGTAGCAGATACTACGTGTATCGTCACGTCAAGTCCGTTATGTCAAGTTTATTCACGGGCCCTTAATTTCTTTGACCTGTACGTACTTGATCGTATACTTACCTCGGGATTCTTGCAAAGCTTGTGTGGGTCAACTGTATTAGGCCAGATATATTTTATTCAGATTATATACCATTTAAATTAATTACGGGATATCCCCGTTTACCTTTTATGGCATTTTGTTGTATGCAACTATAGTCCTGCGAGCCGTACGATGGCCA